GTCCTATTACCTTATATGGTGATAATGAGATTTTTATTGCACAAACGACACCATAGCAACGTCAATCGACCTGCCTAGAAGCGTTATCACACAACTGTTGCAACGACCGCGGTAACCTGAACTTGCAGTACGTAATACTAATATTTAAACCAGAGAAGTGAAAGAACACCTGAAAATTCCTACTTATATAGATACTGTATAGTGCGTTGTAAATTTGATACAATTAATTGCTATTGTTTTATGAACACTCGGATGATACTCTATATGATATATGCATGTATATCATAAATTTAGAGCCTATCTACTGACGTAACTGGACATGATTATGGTTACATCATATGATAGATTCCTGTTTCAGAAAAATTGTCACTGCATGCTGATTTTTTAGTTAGGTTCCTCAAATTTGGTACATGCAATGACAACTAACTGTAGAAGCCACTGTTTTAGCCAAAATTCACCACCTTCTAACCTGTAGTCGCAAAACTAATTTAATTTGACTTTTTTCAGAATTCATAACGGTCATTGTGTGACTTGTCAGATTATAAATTTAGAACACTTTAGCTTGACTTTAGCTTGTTTTTAGCTTGTTTTTATTAAAACTTTCCATTTCGTTGCTGTTGTTATTGTTACAAATAGCGCTTCCTTGTATTGTGCTTTTATTTTTCAAAATGAAATTTAGCTAAATATAATTCTAGTAAAATGTTTCGCCCCCTAGTTTCCGCCACTTATAACCACCATTTAGCTATACTATTACAACCAGGAACACAAATTTCTCGAGTCCCTAAAGAATTATAGAGGCCAATCCAATCACCAGGTGATTATTAATACTCGAAGTCTCGCTTAAACATTTGATGCGCGCCAACCACCAAAACTGAAAACATGTGCGCCAACCTCGACGTGATTGTGCGCCAGCAATTCAAAACTCACGCCGAAGATCTTCCACAAAACGTGCATGGAATGCACCCTGGTGCTTGCCTTGTCTGTCTAGTCAGAGGTCATCAGTGTCTAATATATAATCCTGGCCATCCACGGACTTTAAAATGGGAATATAAGCAGGCAAGAAGCGTGAACGAAACAAAGTTTGAAACCAGTCATTCATTTTCCATATTGCATTTATCATTCTCCATTACATTCACCAGTAAACGAGTCAGCCCTGATGATTTCTTCCTTATTTTTCTCTTCACCACTCAAATGTTCGATAAACATCGGTAAACATCGGTGTAAGTATCTCTCCCAAGTTTGCTCCCAGCTTCTTAATATGCTACTAAAACTACGGTGCAACTTATCTTAAATTATTCAATTACTAATTATTTTTTACACAAATTCTACGGTATGTATAATTAATTAGAAAAACAAAGTTTTACTATATTTTAGAACGTTGTATAATAAAATCATATCATATAATAAAATAATGATCGTGATCAAGCTTTGTATTCGGAAAAAATAATCCAGAATTCAGAAAAAATAATAACCGACAATGCATGCATGGGGAGATACGGGTTCGATTCGTTGGGAGTTCAGATATTTTCTGAATACAAAGCTTGAGCGCCATCTTTACTTGAATAAAAAAATTATAATATCACAATAAAACCGACATAGACCCACAGGCATAGTGTAGTTCTTCAAAATCATATATTTACCGACATCAACCAAGATGACCAAATGTTCAAATAGATCTGTTGCATCCAGCATTATAGGATAATATTGGACCGGTTAGTACGAGCCTTATAACAATGAGCGATTCACGTTTCATGAAAAATATCAATGGCGTGTGTATTTCTCAACAATCGGTTTTAGACAATCGGAAATATAGATAATTCTACCAATGACGATTGTCTACCGATAAGGAAAAAATCGGCCCAATGCCGATTATCGGTCAATCATTGTGCAAGTCATCCATACTTGACAAGTATTTATCAAGAGACGACACGACCAAGGGTGTGACTACCTTCTCCGCGAGAATACCGCCAACCAGTTTCGCCAGGTAATCACCTCCAGCCCCGGCTACAAATACTCCCAAAATCGGCAACACCCATCCACCAAGAAAATTCCCTAAAGCTAACCATTTAATTTCACCGTAAGTAAAGCCAATACAATTGCCCCAAATTGACAAAAAGGCAGCACAAACTCTTTTCACAATAACCTCGTAAAATTCTTCACGAGTTAGCCTTCCTTGCTTCAATTTTGCTTTGGCATCAGAGTAATCAAGCTTAAGGGACAAGGTTTCGATTATAATTGCCGAAATGGTAGCGAACGTAGGGCTAAATTTTGCTCCGAATTCCAAGGCTTCTTCGATGACGATGTCCGATTCTTTAATCCAACTGCCCGTAGACCGAAGCGATTCAACCAGAAATGACAAACATGATGAGGTAGCGCTTTTTACAAGAATTTTAATCGGCGTCCAAAATTGACGACATTCTTTCTTCCCAGTTTTACACTCGTTGGCGAAGTGTTCGCAGTTATTGGTGAAAAGAGAGTATGTAGGTTCTTTCTTGTCGACTCTTGCTTTTGCCTTCTTCAAAACTTCAGAAGCTGAGAGGCATTCATGGTCTTTGTATACAATACGATAAAACCTGTAAAATGGGTACAAATGTGTTAACGTTTGTCAAGTTAATTGGATTGCCATTCGCGTGATCCACCTGATGAATCTTCGCGCGCACTTACAGTGTAAAAACACTGAGATAAAGTTTTCATGCAAACTATAATTCGCACAGTATATGTAATATGATGATTGACAATGATTCTGGGAACAAATATATAGTTCCTGAATAACTTGTATGGATAAATATCATGACTTTGGGCATTATACGTACACACTCGATATGAGCGGTTGTAAATGGGGTTTTGTAGACCGAAATCACAAGGTCGCAGGATCGATTCCTGTCAGAGGGCCTATATAGTTGCATTTTTCACAACTGCTCCTGGTTATTTATAAATGTATAAATTAAATTCTCACTCAAAATTTTCATCCATAAAAACCTTCTAGGACGCCCAAAGAGAAAACTATATTTACATAACTTATTAGAATGTCATTATTAATAGGCCTTACTGCTCCCCCCCCCCCCCCC